AAAAATAAAATAAAAAAGAGAAGAATAAAGTTTACCACCTGTACCGGTATTCGTGTCTTGTATGTACAGTTACAGAAGTTACATAACAACACTGCTTTAAAACATTGTAGAGAATACGCGTGATAAAGATAACGGTCCTCGGTGCATGGTGCAAATGACATTACGATCTTCGTTCTGTTATATACTCTGTACGTAACTTATATGTGCACGCACACCCCTACCTATGTATATATGTACATATGTACATAGATATATATGTTATAAGTGTCGGAAGAATGGGCTATCGGCATTATCGTAAATCATAACCAAGACGATCTTAAATTTTTCATTCGTCCTCCGACGCATATCAATTTACCGTACTGCTTCTCCTTCCTCATCCTTCATTTACGTTCCTCCCCTCATATCGATTCGAGAGAAGAACGTAGATTCTAATTCAATGGTTGATTATGTCAAATGGTATCTTTCGCTTACTCTGCCAGATGTCGCCGGAAACCGCAGGATTTTACGTAAATCACAGATATCGAGTGCGGTCCGATCTGAAAGAGAGAGGGAAATAGAGGAAGATTCGTTCGACATCGATTCGTTCCATCTTTAAAGAAGATGAGCGAGCGAGTGAGTGAAAGGGCGGAGACCCGAATTCTGGAGAATATCATTAAATCGAATGCAATGTGATTCTTCTCCTTCTTCTCTTCCTTTTTTTCTTCCAAGAAAATACGGTTGTGTTGAGTAACATCGTAATTCGTACAAACGAATAATATTGCGACCGAATTAAAATGAGTTACTTTTAATCGTTACTCCTCATCGTTATTTCGTCCTTAGAAGTTCGATCCGTATTCACCGATTTCTGCATTTCTAAAGAAAATATATATCATATGTTAAATCTTTAACCTTAGGAAAGAGTAATTAATAATAACAAAATTATCTACGTTACATCTGTCGTTTTATTTTATTTTTCTTCTTATGTGTATTTCATATTATACCGGCTTTACTGTTTCTTCCTTTTATTTTGTTCCCGAAAGTAATTTTCATCATTTCTTATTCTCTTTTCTCCCAAAGGAGCCTTAGGGATAAAATTTAACATCGATCTTTCATAAATTCCTGCTTTCATGCAGAAGCTATTAAACTCAACGGCTTTGTGAGAGCGAATGCCTTCTTGTATGCTAATGTACAGAACTTATAATTGCTAATTTTTTAGTCTTTTATATGTATACTCCCTTTCCTCTATTTCTTTTGCCTGTTCCTTTTTCACAGTATATTATCGTTTCTCTGTTATCGAATCTTTCATCTGGACGTTTACACACGTCCATGTGTTAATAGAAAAAATGACGACTCAACTTGTCCATATTAATTTAGCAAACTACAGTGGATACTCAACAAAAGGTGGGAAATAAAAATGAAGGACCGTCCATACCGACAAAATCAATTTTGCGAGATATATCGTTCGTGTGCATAAAGAGGGTCGTTGCATCACGAAGAGATAGAAAGAAAAGACAGAAAGAAAAAGAAAGAGAAAGAGGCTATGCGCTCGGAATAGCAAACACTCGATTTACTAATATGCTTTTAAGCGATATATCTTGACGCGTAAATCGCCTCGTGCATATAAAACGATCTCATTTCGTTTACGACATCTTTCCATCCATCTTATCTATCACAGATTTTCCCTTCGAAATATATATTTACAGTGTCTGTTTTTATCTGTGTTCGAATTACGTAAGAAAACATTCGAAAGAATATTTATATTCCATTGTAATCATTGAGCAAAAATATTGTGATATTTGCGATTTACAACCAATCAGTTTTTCGTAAACAACTATTTTCGTGAGAATAAGAAAAAATGATAAAAGAGATATTGATTATTGTATTATGATAATTTTTATTTTCCATAACGAACTCCGGTATTTTCAAGAAGACCACTGAAAAAAAAGTAATGTTCAATTAGTGGAAAAAAAAGTAATGTTCAATTAGACGAACGACGCGAATGCGAGCGACAATGAGTATATGTATTTTCAATTTTACGCTTGGGGCAAAGAGCATCAAAGTACGATTTGCGACCAACTCGTCGCAATGTAATTGTGATAATTGCAAGCAAGTAATTAGGTAATTATACTCACACACATAGATGTTCTTTTCTTTTCTTTATCTTCCTTCATCATTAAGAGATGTTATCAAGTGCTTTCGGATAACTTGAAATAAAGATTTTAAGTAGATTGCAAAATATAAAAGGAAATTTTTAAAAATTCTATAGTCAGTAGGATTAAGGAAAGTAATCGAAAAAATAAGTGGAAAGTAATTAAGACTAATACCTATTTATTCTAATTAGGTACATATACCCGTTGGATAATCTTCCTCGAAAAATGAATCACTCAACAAAAAAGTTTCCACTTAATTCTCGTAGAGGAGACTTTCCATAGAACCCGATCGTTATCTATCAGCCACGTTGGCACTTTTATTCCGAGAAGAAGCAGGGCGAAAGCTGCCGGGACTTATTTCAACGTATATATACATATATGTATGTACGAATTTCACCCATTAAAGTGAAATTTTATACGTTTATACCAAGATAATTGATAAAGTTCGTAATCATCGGTAGGAAACTTTCGGAATGCGATCAAGGAAAAAAGAGAAGATATTGAAAATAAAAAGCAAACGAGAGGATGCGAATAAAAAGTCGTTTATATGCAGTAATTAAATACGAGACTGCGGTTGTAAACTTTCGACAGCAGGTATGGCCCAGCAAGTTTTAATCAACTTCGATGGTTAAAGAGAAAATATATATGATAACGAGTAAGGAAAGAGAGAGAGAAGTAAAGTAAGAGATTAGCACAGCTTTCCTCGTCACCCAAGGGGTACTGTGCCCGAACGCGTCCCCATTCTTTTACATGGCGGGATCCCCAGGAGGCCTACACCATGCCACACGTGCCACACCACGGAGTACGTGATAGTAACGGTCTCGTGTGGAGAACCATAAACGAAAAAAAAAAAATATAGAGGTGGAGTGATGCGAAAACAGAAGTGTTTTTCATATCCGTATATATAGAGCACTTTATTTTTTTATTCTCGAACTTTTAAGGCACGTATTTCATATATATACACATGTTTGTATTTAATAATTTTGATAGGTATATATATGTAGATAATTTGGAATACAAGAAATATTTATAAATTAAAATTACATATGTATACATGTCTGCATATACGGATAGTATACAGATCGTCAACATATGCAAGGAGTCTATAAAATCTCGTAAGAAGTTCATCTTTCTGATTAAATTCCTTCGTTAACGTGCGGACGATATCGATGTGCTATAAGTTTGTTTGCACGTGAATGTTTGATCAATAAGTGAGTTTGTCACGGTAAAAATATAGGTTCTTTCGTGTTAAAAGATATGTGATCGCATTCACATCGAGATCGGCCGCGTTAATCGAATTTCGATTTAAATTTCGAAATAAATTATTATTACTTATACTACGAATCTTACGGTAGACATGAATGATTGTGTTTACCTCTGCGATGATAAAGAAAAAATTTGAGAGCTTTTTAAAAAACGACACGAATCAATCGAGAAAGAACCGAGCTTACTTTGTATTATAGGCCGAAATGTAGCTTAATGGTTAAATTCACGGACGCGACGAGCTCTCTCTCGGCTACACTGCACACCGTTCACTGGAATAAAAGAGAAGGTAACTCGCGTTACGGGAGGCAGGATCTTTTATACCCTGGAAATTATTGATTTTCCTCTTTCAGTACCTGCTCGGTACCACGTGCGCAGGTCCTTTCAATACGGCGCACAAGCAAGACTTGTAATGTATAGTGCTAATCGTGAAAAACATACGGAGGGATCTCGCTTTAAATCAAAAAAGCTTTTTTCTCTATTTTCTTCTTATGATATTCATCTTATATCTTACATGCATAGGTAAAATTGTCACATTGCGCACCGATTATTCTCATATTTATCAAAAGTGTGAAACGTCTAACGTTATCACACAAATGAGTACATTAGCAATATTAATATGAATTTATATGGCTAATAACTATAAATCAGGTTAAAGAGAAATCTTCAAAAGAAAAATAGTAGGTAATCCTTCTTCGCAGTATTAATGGCCGCCACTGTACGAATGGCAGTACGTATGGCAACACGAGTGTCTCTATGACTGTCGTAAAGGCGAGCTTAACGGCAAAAATATGTACCAGCGGCCGTGTATTACGGTAAATGGTGCCTTTTAACGGAATATACTGCTTTGGTAACATAAGAAAAGAAAGTACACATATATATGTTTTGGTATTAATGGACATTAGGAGAAGAACCACTATGATTTATTTTTTATGAATCTATAGAATTCGGAAAGATTATTTTTTTCTTTCATATGATCGATCAGTTTTCTTAGTTTAGTTTTAATTTGTTATGGTATCGTAGTACTTTAATATTTCAAGAAAGCGAAAAGAAAGACGTTTAAAGAGATTAATTGTTCCTTTGAGAAAGGACGTTTTCTTGCGAATTTAATTACAATTGTGATTTATTGCTAACATTTGATGATTAGCATTGTATAATTTGTTTTTATCTGCTATATTGTTTCTAACCATGAATGTAAACAAAATATAAATAATAATGAAGCGTATATTATTATACCATTTTAGTATATTTCAACACATCAATATTATATTTTCTCATATGCGTATATAATTGTTTAGTATTGTTTTAATTGTTTTGCACAATTTAATATAGAATTAAAATAGCTTATAATTAGGAATTAGAACTGCTGTTGATCAAGATCGTATAATATCAGAATTTGTAATTAAATTTAATAGTGATTTTAATTACGTTTCATAAAAAGTATAAGATCACGTGATAACAAGCGCGACGATTATTAGTTTCAATTTATGACGTTAATAGCGTTAGTATCTTTCTTCGATGCTACATCGATAATGCAGATTCCGACACGTAAATTGTAGAAAGAAACTTTAACGTTCAGTTGATAACAAACACTGTGACAAAATATATTCAGTTTGTCTGATATCTATGATGTATTCTGTTCGTGCCTTTATTAATACGTGTTGGTTTTTATAAGTATAAGCATAAGCTTCGAAGGAAGAATGAAATAAGATTTGTACAAATTAATAATTTTTTCGAATATCAAACAATACAATATAAATATTAAACTTCGATAAAAGAAGTACTGTGTGAATACATTATGAAGATAATTTTGGTTTGGTAAAAAATATTAAACAATATGGACCAATCCTACAATGCATACTCTTCTTGGTTATGTCGGTAAGTTCAATAATGTCAAGATATATATGTACATGTTAATTAGTTTATAAAATGTAATTACAAAGATTAATTTTTGATTTAATAATTTATAATGCAATGTTAAAGATGATGTTTATCAGATTTATTTATTTTCCATTTCATTATAAAATAATTGTACTTATATTTCATGCATTAATATAGATCACAGACAGAGAATAAATCGCAAAGAGATTTGACGTGGCCTCAGCTTAGCTTTCAAAATCAAATGAAACATACTGCACAGAAAAATGAACAACATTGCAGATATCGTAGTGATGCGAGTATATCAACAGAGATATTTACTCAAGTAAGTTTAAATGAGTCAGAATATCCTGAACTTGGTCAGAAAAATGTAAAGATTAAGAGTTTGCCAGATCTTTTTGTTTCTCATCATGAATCTGTTATCACAGAAACTGTGATACCCTATGTTACAAAAAAAGCAAAACATCAAAAATTGTTAGGATTACATAAGCATAGAAGATCGGAGAAGTTATTTCTTGACTTAAGTAAAGCTTTGGAAGTAAGTAATAAATACTTCAGTAATAAATATTTGATTGATATTATTGTATGTCAAAAATAATAATTCTTTATTAAATTTAATGTTTAGAATGCAGAATGTTTCATAAATAGGAATAGAAAAAAATCTAGAAAACTAAAGTTCGACGTTTACAAAATAAATTCAAGTGGAGCTAACACAAATAAATCAAATGAAAAGGGTTTCCAAATAAGAAAAAATAAATTGTACAATATAAAATTTAAAAAACCATCAAGATTAAAGAGAACAATTATACTAGAACGCTGGAATAATATGAAAATGAAATATCAAGATGAGATCAACACCAGAAAGATAAAAGAAAACGTTATAAATGTGAATAGTATTAATTTGAATACCTTAAAGATCAAATCAGATCCGGAAGTGGATGTAGATTATGTAAAACTTATGTCAACATTGACAGTTTATGATAGAGATTACAGAAACACTATAGTGGAAAACATTTCTGAAGATTCTGTACAATTTCGGCCGGACTTAACTCAGAAATTAGATGAGTTAAAGATTTCGGATGTGAAAGATAAGAATATTTCCACTGCTCCTTATAGAAATGCGTTTAACAATACTAATGATTTAAACGTTTTGCAACGTAATTTGTCTCTTACTGACGAGGATAATGTAGATATTAAACCAAATATTAATAATTTGTTAGATGTAAAATATTCCAAAAATGTTAGAGAGTAAGTACTATTACTCTTTCTCGTGGTATGAATACGTTTGAAAATATACAAGAAAAAAGGATGAAATGATTAAAGATATTGTGAAATTTAATTTATTCTTATCAATCTCTGTATAGATCATGCATATATGTATATATTAATGTGTGTATTACAAATGTGTATTCGTAATATAGATAACGAAACGTATATTGTTTGCATAAAATATTATATTCTATAAATAATATATGCCTTGTGTGAAACTCGTTTAGATTATATTATTTGTAATTAACCATGCGTAGTATTATAATGACAATATACTATTATATGTTATAGAATAAATTAAATTGATATATATTCTGACAGTTCAATTACATTACAGATATTGTAATAATTTAATAACTTTTTCTCTTAACGAATCCTTGGAAAAATTTTTGTCTGAAATTCGAAGGCTTCAAACAAAACTTTACAATAGAGATCAAAATAAGGGCAAGTATAAACGTCGTTATTACTCGGGCTTAAAGGAGGTTCAAAAACACGTTCTATTAAAAAAAGTGCAATTTGTTGTGATAGCACCGGATATTGAAAAGATTTTATCTGCAGGTAAAATATGACGATTGGATTATTGATCATCGAGTTATAATTACCGAATACTTTATTATTCCAGGTGGTTTGAACGAAGAAATTGACAAATTATTGGAAAATTGCAAAACGCATGAGACAGTTTTTTGCTTTGGTCTCCGTAGGCGGAAGCTAGGATATTATGCTCATGGTAATGGACTCGTAAGTTGTATAGGCATATCTAATTATGCTAATGCCGAGGTAAGCGATCAAGTATGATATCTTGCAAGGTATATCGCTTTTATGGTATATTAATATGTATCTTTCTTGGTAGCAATTCTTTTGGAACGTTCTCGTCGAGGTAATAATTGCGCGGAACATGTTTGAAGAATTGCGAGGAAGATCAGAGAAAATAATTGACATATCGAAAATAATTCAGGAAAATGGTCTCTTAACAGAAAACATTGGAGTTCTACTCAAGAGTTTAGCGTCAATTAAATAAAGTAACAATCTTGAAAAATCCTCGTATATTGAAAATCAGAGAAACTAATATTAAATTTGCATCTACTTAATTCTAGTAATTCTCAGGATAGAGAAGTATTCATAAGATAAAACAGTTCAGTAGCGAACTGTATCTATGTAACCTTGAGGCGATGAACATCTAGGGCATGTCCTGATTCAACTCAAATATGAAAAAGAGGATGTTGGATTTGATAAATGAAGTTTACAATTGTAACAGTAGACGTGGGATTACTTGAAGCTATTTTTTATATAATATATCGATAATAAATTCATAGTGACGAAAATCTATAAAGTTTTCCCACTTTAACATTTGTCAGCTAAAAGAAATGTAGCCACATAATATCTTTGGATAGTCGGATTAAATAATATATTTGGAAGTCATATTTTGAAATCTCTTAAAACTCTTTTAAAGTCTTTAATAAAAATAGAAACGTGTAATATTTCGATATAATTTAATGTCTCGACGAGTTTTGTCAAGTAAAAAATTACTATTAGGTTTTATCAAAAAATTTGTTGGATTTGTACTTTTTTTTTTATATTTCTAGATACTTAAATTAGACGTATTTTATACTTTTTAAAAAGCGTATAGTTTCTTATACATTTTAAATACATCGCTTTCTACATACGCGATTCAAGTTTTTTCTTTAAAGTAATATTTTAGAAAGAGTTTTCATGAGATTAAACCAATTAAGATGAATATCATCGGATTGTTTTGTTCAAGTTGAAAGAAGGTCGAAGACATTATTCGAGTATTTTCAGTCTTTTGAAATTTTGCTTCTACGAAACTTGATGTGTCACAAAGGGATTTTAAGAATTCGAGAGAAACGGTGAACGTAGCAATGGCTTCGAGTATGTACCAAACAAAATCTCAGTATACTTTTTTTTTCATTATTGATATCAAACCGATAGGCTAAAATGAGAAAACAAGCAAGAAATGTATCTATACTTTCACCATTTATATATTTTCTTCAAATTTTTGCATAGAAATTCATGAAAGAATTATCAAAGGATTACAAATGGAATTCCATTATTATACTATTGAATACTTACGTACCTTCGACACCGATAAATATACTCAGAATATATACAGACTCGATCTTTCTTTTCAGTTCCTTGAATCGAATAACATAATCGTAATATTTATTATAGTATATATGCTTAGGATAAGATCTTAATTTTTAACGGCGACAGAACAAAGAATAACCTTCAAAATTAAGAGAAGGATACGTATTAGATTGGACCCATTGCTACTATGAAACACATAGTATAAAGATAGTCGTACCAACATAAACGCATACATGCAAGTTATATCGTTGAGATGCAGCAACGATGGAAAAAGAGAGGAGAGAAGAAAACGAAGAAGGCGAGGCTCGAATGGAAGCTGGAACGGAGCCTTCGTTCTTGCTAGAAAGGAGAGGCAAACGCTGGGACCAATGAGGGACTGGAGAAGTCAGAGGAGGGTCTCAAGCGGGACCGTGAGCTCTCTGTGCGCTTATATGTGTGTGCGTCTGTTGATGCAAGTGCGGTGATTGTACGACCGGTGCTAACTTGCGGAGTCAGTCAGTCAGTCAGTCAGTCGGCTCGGCACCGGCCGCGATGCACGATCAGTAGAGTATATACGCGGATTTTCTTCTTATATGCTTTATTTTCTTTTCATTTCTACCACGTAGCATATCTTTTTTTATTCACATCGTCTTTTGTACCCTTTATCTTCGTTTTTCTTGGCGACATTTATCTCATTGAGTGTAATCTCATTCTTCTCTGCTTTTTATTGAATTTATCGAGAGTGACCTTGCAAAGGAATTTATCGAGAGTTTGGGAACTTTAGTACCTACTGTGGTTTCTTTGGATTCGTCGAAGGTAAAATATATTCATTATTTTTCAAGGATAAACGTATTGTTTTGTGGCACAGTAATCTTTTTGTATTATCTCGATATTTTTATTTAGCCTAAAAAAGATTCCTAGTAAGACTTTTTTGACCGTTCTTTGTTAGAACATTATGAAGCATTATAAATAATATACAAATTAACAAATCTTATTTAATAGGTTGAAAAAAATACTTTGAAGATGCCGATAATTCAATATTAAAGGCTTTATTTAAAATATTAAAAAGATTTTTCTTGTAACATTTGTAAGACTAAGAAAAAGTAAAGTGTAAGTAAAAAATAAAATAATTAATTTTATATATTTTATTTACAAAAGTATTAGATTAATTTATGCTAGAATAACTTGGCTGTCAACGTCTTAGCAAAGAGTTTATTGGAAACAAAGTATTTCATTGTAACAAAATTACATTTTAGACTGAAATAGGATCGTAGGATAATAAGACAGATAAATAAAATGTACTTCGTGTCGTAGATGAAATAGCTAAAGCTAATCAAAAGTTTAGCTTTACGTGTGTAATCCTTCGTTAAATTAGTTTCGCGAAGTAGCACACACTCGGTAAGTTTGTAAAGGATTCTGATCTCGTAAGAGATTACCTTACCGCGCGATTTTCGATGCAACGAAAGGACGATATATGCAACAGGAGCACGAATCTTCGTATCCTCAATTTCAAAACCCAAAACGATCTTATGCTTCCGGTTCGAATGGCACGCAAGGAGATCGTTCAGTCATTTCGAATTATGACTATCGCGCATGCTCGTGTGTTCGACAACGATTTCGGATGCCGTTAGGCGTCAATGATCGACGAATCGATGACCGTCCGACGTATATAACAGAAACGTCGTTAAGTTTGACGTCGAAGTAATTCGAAGAAAGAGAAAGAAAGAACGAAGAAAAAAGAGGCAGAAATTCGACTGAGATTAGAACGTTATTAATTTTGAGAAAAAATTGTTGTCTATGAAAAAAATTGTTTCGCTAGTGTATGAAGTTAATGAGTCAGCTACATTGAGCGTTATATCAATGTAGGATGAAACGCTAATTTTTCGAAATGACGTGAACTGTTAACAAGCGGTTTGCTTAATTAATAAATAATGTGTGGATGGAGCAAGGAATCATACGAAAGGAGTGATTTTAAAAGAAATCATTTTTAGTTCTTGGATGTATCGTTGAAAATATTATTTCGTAGAAAAAGAAGGAATGTTTAAATAACGTCTCTTGAAATACCACAAGTCGCGTCCTTTTCCGTTTCCGTCATGAAATTCGAACGCGATTCCGTGGTAAACAAAGATAGAAAGATAAGAAACGATTCGTTGTTCGTTGGTTGAAATCCCGCCAGGATTTTACTGATAAATGTTTGTATATACCGCGAAGTGGGCGGTTACGTGACACACAAAAAGGTTTCGATGAGATAGAAAATTATCGCGATTAAACAAGAAGCAATAAGAAAACTAGAAAGAAAAGGAATGTGAGGAAGAAAAACGTTTGGAGTCTCTTCGATGTCTCGGCTTATCGGTCAAGGAACTCAGGGCCCAATCAATACTCGTCCGTTTTATCTTCCTTTTCTTCTCTAGTTTCCTCAAGCGTGCATAATAAATGTGAGCGATAGAAAGACTCGTTTCTCTTCGTTGCACATCGTCGAAAGATCGTCATTCTTTTCTTTCCCATTCATACACAGAAATCGAATTTGGTAAGTTAGTAAAGTAGCCAATCGGGAATTCTCAAATTTCAACAATCAATTGTCATTTAAATTTAAGAAAAAACGAAAAATGTAACGTTATCCAAAACAAAAAATTTTCCCTTTAAAGAAGGCATTTATTTAAACGTAACTGCTTTGTTCCTTGAATATGACATTTCTTTAAATACCGAACGATTTTTTAATCTTCTTATGTTGTAAAATACTTCTTAGTTATTATATTCGTTAGAATTGCGAAATATCATTTAGATTGAGAAGACTTATGGTGTGTATCGATTGTTTAATGGTTGTCATTTTTTTTTGTAGATTTACAAAGAAGAAATTGAGTATAAAGGAGAAAAATGTATCGCGAGAAAAATGCTTAATATGCATGGACGAAAGAGAGAAAGAGAATGTGTAAGAGAAAGAGAGAGAGAGAGAGAGAGAGAGAGAAAGAAATTTCATTATAAAAATGAAATTATCAGAGACAGAATATCTTTATTGTCTCATTGATGTTATTTAGATATTAGTTCGCAATTGCTTACAATAATAATTTTGTTAAAGATTTTCCCCTTTCCATATAGTGGAGAAAAGTAGAAATGACCCTCTTAATTGGCCAGCGCTATTTACGAGATCCAACACCGAGTCTCGACTCGTTTTCTCGAGTGCGTCGCTCTTCTTGTGTATATATATAAATATATAAAGAACGATGCTCGCGGTCTTTTGCTTTGTCGGTTCGCTTGAAAATCGAGATTCTTTCAAGTAGACATAGGACAGTCGTTAGCAGTCACGTTGTATGATATGTCTGTTAGATCTTTAACGATACAGGAAGTATGTGTAAGAAATGCATATTACGACGTGACCTGCATATATGTATTCATTAATCGAAAGAAAAATATTTCTTGTAGTACATATTTCTGTTTTGCGATTCCTACGAAGTTATTGAACGTTGCTACGATTTATTTTTACGGTAACTTTATCGGTATTTTTTGGTAAAAGTTTTTCAAAGGCATATCAATGACCGTTTATTTAATAGTACTATTATAGTATAACAAGTTTGATCATTAAAGGCAGACGCATCCTATCGTAACATTTTCTATTAACAGATAATTCTTAAAAAAGCGCATGCCAAGAATAAAATGTTTAAACATGTTCGGCGTGAAAAACGAGACTAACGTTCCGTGAACGCTATGGAAGAGTTATAGAATCGGATAATTAATCTAATTCATGAGTAACGAATCGATTGGTCTCAATTAAAATGCGGAGGCTTATTTTTTAATTTACACATGATTGACTTAGCTTGGACATTTTAATCTGTTAATCGGAAAAAACAAATTAATTCGTTTTGATGATTTAACTTTTTTTCTAATAAAAGAACTGAATCATTTATTTCTCATTTCTATTGAAAAAGTCTTATACTTCTCGAATCTTCTTCTTACGATACATTAGTTTATTCAAAGATTTCTATTTTCATATGTACCACTTTATTGTTAATCGAAATAAATTTCATATATCCATGTTCACCGATGTAAAACCTTATCGATTTTACAAGATAAATAATTTCAACCATTTTGTTGTGTCACTGGGTGAAATGCGAGAATATGATGATTTCCATCGATGAGCAATAAACGATGTGTTAACGAGTATATTTTTCTTTTGTAACATGAGAACGAATCATTCGTGAGGTCGTCTCTTTGCTGAACCTACTTACATCTGGCGTGCAGCGGTCTCGTATAGGCGAGGCTTTAAAATCGAATAGTCATTCGAATTTTGAGTATATTTTCTTTCTATCTCTAAAGAATTGCTTTATTTTTCTGTTATAATAACATAAATATGTATATTATGCGCATGTATAATCGATAACTTTGACACAGTATTTCGCATTATGCATTCATTCCTCTGATAAGTTTCTCGGATGCATTAGCGAGATCGTGTTAATTACAATCGTGACTCATCTCTCTGTTTTGCACGTTTCTATCGAGGACTTCCAAAGAATTCCTTTTTTGTTGTTTTCTCTTTTAAAGTCAATGGCTCGTTGCAGTCATTGATGTTCTCTCATTCAAAACTCTATTTTCGATAATATAAATAATAATTTTCAGAGAGGGAGAGAGAGAGAGAGGGAGAGGGAGAGAGAGGGTGGGAGAGAGAGAGAGAGAGAGGGAGAAGGAGAGAGAGAAAGGGAGAAGGAGAGAGAGAGAGAGTGCTATATTCGCATCGTTGGCTTTTCGCAAAACCGTAGAGTTAACGGGAATACATTTAAGTGGACGCATCCAAGTAGGTAAACGCTAGCAGTTAAGAGCACACACAATTACGTATAGTGGCCTTAGCGCCCTTAGCCTGGCCTCAATGTGACGTATAAAGAATGAAACGGAAGAAAAAAGAGAAGAAAAAACGATGATTCCACTTGGCATGACGCTTTAAAGAGCCGCTCTGGTAATTAAGCTCGCAAGCTCCTTCTCGAGTGCTCTTGGATGGTATACGATCGCTCTGTTTCAATTGGAAACACATCGAATTATTCTCCACTTTACTACGTGTTTCCACATATGCCACGCCTTTTTTATTTCCATCTCGCATGTGAGATAGACTAGAATAGAATGTAGGAAAAAAAATTTAATTTAGAAAGGAACTCAAAAGGCTGAAACCTGAAAAAAGGAAAAACAAAGATCGATATCATATTCTCGTAATTCTCATCTTTTGAACAAATATTACCCTTTTCTATTCCATTTTTCCTCTTTCTTTTTTCTTTCTTTTTTTTTTACTTTAAAGATGTTATGCTTTTCTCTATAGCTTTTCGTGATCCTCTCGTTTTTTCTCTCATTTCTTTCTCTCGTTTCTATCTCTTGTTTGTTGTACATGTTAAACGTATACAATTAGCTTTATGTTTTAAAACGTAACTTTATATTCTACGTATCATATACATAAGTATAATAGTGATAGTGAATCATTTTACGAATCATCTTGCGAATGACACATTATTTCGAAAAACGAATAAATAAGAAGATTGATATTCTTCGCATATTATCATCGTTTTAGATTCTGATGACGGTCTGTATTGGGCGCATGTATAAATTAAAACAACATAAGAAAAAAAAATGAAAAATGTTATTATTAATATAGGATTTGTGAAAAAAGTTGGGCCGTTGGGTAACCTGGACCAGGTATCGAATGCGAGTTTTCCGCATTCCTGGTTACTGCTGTAATGATTAACCTGCTTAAACTTTTTAGACAATTTTTTTACGAATGTCTACTTGTATGAAATGAATGTGTTCCCATAATAAAATGATATACTTTTTTGACTCAAATA